CACCTGACCTGTGCTCAGCTCAGGGTGACCCCCGAACCTTGGCAAGCTGTGGGGCCTGAGTCAGGGCCTCAGTCTTTCCTGCCCAGCCCAGCCCATCTGGAGGCCCCTCCAGCTGGCTCACCTGAACCCCACCTGATGGGTGGGTGAGACTCCTGAGGCCGGGCCTCCTGGGGAGCTGTCTGCCCTCCCTCCACCCCTCTCCCCCTCCTCCTCCCTCCTCTCTCCTCTCTCCTTCTTCCTCCCTCCTCCGTGGAGAATCCCAGAAGGAGGCCGTGCTGGGCCCCCTGGCTCTTAGGCCAGTTTAGGTGCAGTGAGCCAGGTGCGCGCCTACGGCAGGAGGCCGGTGGTGAAGGGGGGCTGGTGTCGGGGCGCACAGGATGCTGGGAGGGTCTGGTGGAGTCCCAAGGCTGCAGCCCTCCCGCTCCCTCACCCCAGTCACTGAGCCACCAGTGGCTCTTTGCCCCACCCCTGGGTCTGCCAAGGGTGAGAGGGAGTGTGGGGGCTGAGGCAGAGGTGCAGGGGTGAGGCAGGGGTGCAGGTGATTTTTAGAGAGAGAAGGTCCTAGGTGCCTCACGGCTGCAGTGACATGAAGGGTCTGCATGTTTTGAGGCCCGGGTTTGAGTCCTGTTTCCCCACCGGCTAGTGCAGCCGTGGGCAAACTACAGCCCGCGGGCCTTGAGTGTTGACCTATGAACCAGGAGGTCACAGTTCAACTCCCGGTCAGGGCACATGCCTGGGTTGCGGGCTAGGTCCCCAGTGTAGGGCATGCAGGAGGCAGCCAATCAATGATTCTCTCTCATCATTGATGTTTCTATCTCTTCCTCTCCCTTCCTCTCTGAAACCAACAACAACAGAGCGTGGTAGGCGCTCAGTCTGCTAGTAGCATCAGGGGCAAGACTAGACCCTGACACCAGACCCTTCAGGGGTGCCACTGATGACGACAAAGTGGGGGGTGGGCGGCCTGAGAGGTCTGGGGGCGCAGGGCTTCCAGAGTGGAAGCAGAAACTCCACACCAGCCCCCTTCCCCTCTGTCTCCCCCCCACACACACACACAAAGCCCACAGCTTGCGGACCCCCTCCCTCCCAGCTCTTTACCTACAGAATTTAAGTCACCTGACAAGATGGGTCATCCCATAATTAGCCTCTATCTGCTCAAAACCCAGCTGTCACCCCCTGTGCTCCTGGGGTCCTGTCTGAGGAGCCAGGCAAGGGCCCTCGAGTCCTGGCTGGGCCTCTGTTTCCTCCCCGGAAGCTGGGATAGTAACCTGCTCCGCCCGCCCAGCCTGCCCAGCAGAGGGCTCTGAGAGGATTAGGGGAGGTCTTGTACAGGGAGCCACAGCCACACAATTGGGAGGCTGTTGTGAAAGATAAATAAAGTATCAGGTGACAGATGGCAAGTGTGTGTGTGGAGGGGAGGGGGAGGATGGAGGAGGGGCACTGGGAGGGGCAGCCTATTCGCCCCCTTTCCTGCCGGGCTCCCTCCACACCCACCATCTGGATGCTTCATGCCCCTGTTGCCCCCCAGAGCTGAGCCTGGTGGTGAGTGACTGGGGGAGAATGGGAGGGTTCTTCACCCTGCCCCTTAGCCATCACCTCCCCTTAGCCCTCACCCCCCTTAGCCATCCCCCCCATCTCCCCAGCCCCTCCCAGCCCCAGGCAACCACTGACCTACTCCCCATTTCCGTAGATTCGCTATTCTGGACATTTCACATGAATGGAAGCACAGTGTGTGCTGTCTTCGTGTCTGGCTCCTGTCACTGAGCGTAATGTTTTCAAGGCTCATCCACATTGTAGCACGTGTCAGAACGTCATTCCTTCTTTTTTAACATATTTTTTTTATTGATTTCAGAGAGGAAGGGAGAGGGAGAGAGAGATAGAAACATCAGTGATGAGAATCATTGATCGGCTGCCTCCTGCATGTGCCCACAACTCCGGGCACGAGCCCTGATCGGGAATAGAACCATGACCTCCTGGTTCATAGGTTGACGCTCAAGCACTGAGCCACCCTGGCCGGGCTGTTTCCTGGACTCATGAGGGTATCCTTCCCCGAGGCCTCCGGCTCCCCCTCTAATGTGCTGGGTTACTCTTTGGGCCCCTGGAGAAGGGCCGCTCTAGCATTTCCGCTCATTTCACTGCTGGGAACGGCCATTCTCCTGGCCCTCTTCACTCTGTGGGTTCTGTCTCACTCAGCTGGAGGGTGCTTTCAAATGATGGTCACAGAGGCGCCCGCCAAAGGTGGGATTTCCGGGCCTTTGCGTGCCTCAACATCTCCCTTCCGCCTAGAATTCCAGGTGTAAGGAGACTTTTCCTCTCTACTTTGACCTCTAGCGTACAGTTTCAGTGATGGCAATCTGCTTTTTTTTCCTTTTAGGTAACCAGTTTTGTTTTTCCCTAAACTTTTAGGGTTTTTTTTGGTTTTGGTCCTTGGCATTTCTAATTTTAACGGGGCCATGTTTGGGTGGGGGACCTAGTTTGTATTTTGTGTCCAGGCATCTGTCGTTCATTCATTCGCTCATTCTTTTCTCCCATTTTCTCGGTACTTATTTTCTGGAACTCTCATGATATCGTTGGGCACTTCTGGCTTGATCCTCTGAGTCTCTTGCCTCATGGAATTTTTATGTCTGTCTTTATCTGTGGTCTTGAGGGTTTCTTTGACTTTGTCTTCCAGTCACTCAAGTGACCTTTTTCTCTTTAGCGATTATGTCTTTAGTTTCCAATAATTCTCTCTTGCTCCCTGAATGTTTTATTTTTCTAGCAACTGCTTCTGTTTGTGACTGTCGCGTTTCCCCGAGTCTCTCTGAGCACTTGAATTGGAATGGCTCAGACAATTCTCTTCTACTTTGTTTTCTCTGGGGTCAGGGCTGCATTTATTTATCTGGATTCTTCTGTGAAGTTGGTTTTTCTCAAGTACCCAGTGATC